AGGACCTCATGGGTCGTCGAATGACAAAGTCCAAAAAGCTGGATGACTCAAATAGAGTCAAAGAATAATCCTAAAGGATTGATGGAAGCATTTGGACTGAAGTGTGTTGTACCCCATGAAGGATGGGGGGGATTATAAGATTCAAGGATGAGAACAGAGGATATCTCATCGATGGCAGAATGGGCCATGCTAAAGTCATAGGAAAGGTGTTCCCCAAAAAAGAAAGCAACTTTGGCATAAAGTTATGTGTGAACACTATGGTGCAATGCTAACTAATAGTTAGCATGAAAAATGACACTTTGGTTTTGGCAAAGACCTAAACACAAGTAAGAAGTGTCATATAGGTAAGCTCGTGGAATTGTTAGTGTGGAAACACCAAATATGCCATGGCCATGAACACCGAGTTTGTGGAGGACAGGAAGCCCAGCAACAAATTCATAACTGAGTTCCTTTTGTTGTCCAATCTGAATTCTCTTGCGGATGGTAGGAATGATTCTTTCAGGATGTCTGTTGCGATTGGCGTTGTGATCTTGATTTGGTTGAAGCCAAGCGAGTTCAGCGCATTTCTGAGATTCCACATTGAAGGGACTAGATCGGGCCAGGGGAGCCCGGGATCCGAAAGGACTTTGTTCCCCACTGCGATGAATTCGACGTTCGTTGTGGGGTAAATCGGCACGATTCTATTCCTGACCCAGTCCGACGCCACGTTGGAGCTCCTGGCGATGGAGCTGAACTCCTGGTTGGTCACCGCGACTGTGAGCTGGATCTATGAATTCGCAAAAGCCTGCAAAACGGTTTGGTCTGTGTCAAAGATCTTCACCCTCTTGAACTGCAGGGACTTGATGAGATTCACCACTTGATCCGGCTGCAGAAGATTGTTCGCAACTCTCCCATAGTTGACCCCAATATCTTGGCAAGAACAAGAAACGAACGTCAGCGATCAAACCAGCTTCAAAGAAGATGAAAGTTCTTTCGACCATTTGCTCCTCCATCTCCGCCACCCCCTCCTTCTTGGCACCAGTTGCATTGGCTCTGGCATCCAGCTCCACAAGCCGAATCGCACCCGCACCGTCCAAACTGGCTGCAGCACATATTGTCCGGGCATGGATCGCTGGGACTGCATTGCTGGGTGATTGCCGCAACAAGAACGTTCATCAGAACCAAGAAGCCCACAAAGACCCAGATGTTCTTCATGGTTGCTTGCTTCTTCGTCTTGATATGTCCATAGCAAGTTCTTATAGTTGGAATAAAATGGTGTTTACAGTCCATTTGTGTGAGCATGGGACCTACGACTATGTAAGGGAGTGCAACTCGAATACGGCTTTCACTCACGTTAATTAATCAAGTTGGGCCGCATGGTGGGGGGAATGAGCATTATCCATACAGGAATTATAAGTGTTCAAGTCCGTGGGGCTTGACAATTTGAGGAGTTTGTGGTTGTTATGACTTCCTTGCAATGTTTTTTTGAACCCTACATTCTGCACCTGTGTAAAATTTCATTCAAGCCAACGAAATGACCAGGTGTGTTGGCGATCGTCACCCGGTCACGTTGATCCCAAATGCCACGATCTTGTCTTTGGCCCCACGCCATATTGATAGTAAACATGGGCTCATATCATCAGCAAAATTGATCTCAGTGTCACAGAACACAAGTTTCAGCTGGAATTAAATCTACTATATTCGCTGCCCCCAGCTAGGCGCTAAAAGACATATAATGCAATAATATGAAAGCTGATAATTTTTTCATTTTGATAATGATTACTCAGGCATTGACGAAGAAGCCTAGGCATTTCAGCTTGACACCCCGATCAAAGGAGTTGCCATGATGCCCCCCGGCAGAACAACCGGACAGAAGAACCTCGATCAAGCGAGTGATGGGATTAGCAAGCCAAGTTCACATACATGTTTCAAATAAAACTTAGCTCTCGGCTCGGTTAGCGCAACCTTCCCCCTGGTATGCTACTTCAGCGCAAAAATGTCAATAGCCGCTGCTTGGATCCATTCTTGGATTTGGACTGATATGTTGACGTGGTTTTGTATAGTAAAATTGACAAGATAAAGTTTTGAAGGTGGATGTTAGATATTCTTTCAAAATATTCCTTCTTAAACATGTTTTAATGGGATAAAAATACTAATATATTGAATGTTCCTTTTTTTCCATTTGAGCTAGCTACTACCCATTTTTTGTTGCCTTTATAGACAATTTTATAGGAGGTACAACACAGAAAGAAACTGGAAGTGGCATTATCAATAGGATTTTACACTGTGCTAATCAATAACCTTTGAAGGCCTAGTTCATTGTTATTCTATTTCTTAATTTAATGAAAGCTGAAGAGCTCACACTCAAGAGATTGGGTTTGCAGGCAAGATCACAGCAAAGGATGCAGCTATACTGTTGCTTTGATGGAGCAAGCTAAAAGTTGGAAACCATGGATGTGAAATGAAACACAAAACGGCCACTGTGGAGAGAAGCATGGCTCTCTAGAGATCTATGCTGTTGAGTCTGTCATACATAATAGAGAGCGGTCTGGAAGCAAGGACAGTGTTCTCACCATGGAGGAGTTCTGGAACGTAATAGTGGGCAAAGTTTTGGAGCACCAGAAGAGAAAGAGCTTGCAGACTCAGGTGGCAAATAACAACAATACAAGTAGCAGCCTTGTGAACACCACCACCATCACTATTCTCACTTTTGTAAGAAGGCAGTATCACCAACTTGAATGTTCGCTGTTCTGGTGTGTGGCAATGTTTCTGGCTGAAATTTTTGCATCCAGCACTGGTCAGTTAATGGTGGTGGATCATGCGCTGGAATTCATCTAATATGTATGGAAAATCCTCTCTAATCAACATGTTTTCTGAAAAAGTAGCTAAGCCTATTATTTTGAATGCATTATTTGTTATAAGATCAAATCCCCATAATTCACAGTATTCCTTAGTAACATGGTTATTCTTATGTCTTTGTCTGTTTTTATTTTTGAAAGTGTTTATTCATTTACTTATTGAATAGACAAATAAATTCTTTAAACATTTTATAAGTTATAGTATTAACTTAGGAGGCTCTACCGTCATCTCGGCAGCCTCTCAGATCACGTCCTCGATCGGCCTCGGTCACGTCCTTCATCCTGTGTGCTGCTGTGCTTGCATTTTGGAGCTCTCCCATGCTTGTACAATATACTTGTCCAGGTAGAGGTGATCGAACTTCCCATACATGTCCAGCACAGCCGCGTCAAGGTCTCCCAGATGGTTCACCAGCACAATATCCCTGGATTAGTCACCGGTGAGTGATAGAATTGCATTGAGAGCATTGCACTGGGCTTCATTCATTCAGGTTTTGTTGCGCCTGCAAGAAGATCGCAATCGTCACAAGATTAAAAACAAACTTTCATATAAGAAGAGAGCACATACTTGCATAGGAAAGCATCGGCTTCATCTATAAACAGCAGCAATCCTCTCCTGGTCTTCGATGCCCATCCAAACAGCTCGTGGATCTTTGTGATGGCTTGAAGACCAAGTTCTAGGTTAAAGATCTTCATAGAATATACTCCTATCTAAATAAACTTCATGCACCTCCAATCATGACAGCATAGTGGGATCCAAAATAAACCTCAGCTTAAAAACCACCAAAAGATTAAACGTAGCCTCGCTAGCATCTCACAGTATCATGTCAAGGAGACCTTGAAGAATATCTCATTTCACAAAATCCCTGGAAGATCGAGAAAGCTCACTTTTGCTTCTCCTCCACAAGAATTCTTGGAATTCCTCACGATCATAATGGACGATCAATCCACTGCTCAGATAATGTCTGGAAAAAGGAATCGCTTGAGTGAATTCAATTCATTTTGCTCACTATAATCTCTAGCTAGTGACGTAAAACTTTTGTTACCAGTATTCCGTATACATAGTTCCACTGGTAACCAAAGCCAAAGATTTGATCCACGACATCAACTCCAAGGTTTGTAGAATATCTAGCTCCGAATCACTGCGAACAAAACTTTAGTTCTTAGTGGCATGATCAAGTGAGGCTTTTTGAGAGTATGTACCAAGATTCATGAGATTGTAGTCATGCCAGATGAAGAATTCTATGTTATTGTTAGGAACTAAAGTAAAAAAGGAGATGCACCTCAAGTTGGTCATATGACGTTAGGAACCTCTCTTCCAGCCAGCTTCTTCAAGAATACGACCATCCATATATGCTCGGCCAAGTGTGCTACCGAGCCATTGAGCAATGACAAATCCCGCATACAACCTTAGCGTCTTTTCCAGTGCAATCTCGTCCGAGATAGCCTTGACTGCCTAAATCCCTGGAGAAGGGAATTCGTGCTCTCTTGCTTGCAAGCCACAAAAGCTGAAAAGCTGAATCAAGCAATGTACTTGGTTTGCCAAGGTTCTAAAGCCTGGCTGGAACCACAGTTGCAAGTACCAATTCCACAGTATTGATCCCTTTCTTGAAGAAAAGAACCAGATCTTCCATGCCACTTTTATTGATGAATAAAAAATGAAATAGTCAAACCTTGCTTAAAATTCTCCAACTGTTTTATCAATTATTACCTTATTTAGTACATTTTTACAGACAAGGGCTTTTGTTTGCAAAAAGTTTTTATTTTCTTTCTCAAAGTTAGACCCCACCCTTTTAATTTGAAGCAAAAAATTAATTCGCGATTGGGCAATGTTTTTGAGCATGGTTCGAATCTCAACCGAGATCCAAAGCTTCCTAGATAACCTGTTCTACTTTCTTTTCAGCAAAGCATGGAACAAAAGCCGATCCATTCAAAGAAAACACATTGACAAATTTAATGCTAAGGGTACAACGGTTGCAACCAGATCTTTTTTGAAAAGCTATTTTCGGCTATGATCGCAAGTTCCGTCACCTTTACCATTTCCAGAGAAAAGGATCGGGGTTTTATTTCGTAGAATCTTTCAACACACGACTCCCTCATCCGACGGCTGAAAGCGTTGCCAATTGGCCCCATCCAGCCCGTTGGGCTTTCAAAGGCTCACTGGTTTCTAGGGTTCTTCCCGCGGGTGGAAATGGCGACGAGCAGCAGCGCGGGGCCTCCCAGCAGCGGCTCTGGCGTGACCGCGCAGCAGCCGCAGGCGCAGTATCTGGTGCTCGCGGTCGAGGCGACGGCGGCGCTAGGCCCGTCGTGGCCGCTGCTGCGATCCGAGTATCTCGACAAGATCGCCAGGTAATTTCTTGCTTGTTGGCGAGGATTCCTGATTGGTATTTTAGAGCGTTCTATGGTCAAGATGGGAATGTCCAGGTGAGAATTTTTTTTTCTCTCTCGGTGGTTCTCTCACGGTCGTGGCTTTCTAGAAGGACAATGGGGCTACTCTGGAGATGGCGCTCGTGGTCTTTCGCGGCCATGACTCCTACAGTGGTAGGCAAAGACTTTAGAGAGCTTGACCTTTATCCATCTATCACAGGCTGCCTGCTCCAGAGAAGTGGCTGGACGCCGAGCTTGGAGCTGTTCCAGCTATGGCTATCGTCCATCGATTTCTCGGGTGGTGGATTTGGCGAAGTTGCTGTGGCGGAGGGATTAGCGGAAGCTCTTGTGGTAAGCATATATAAGTTTCATTTTGAATTATGAAGCTGAGGATTTTGAGCCTTGCAGATGTGCTGTCCCACGACTCAGCCGCCAAGTAACCAGGCATGCCAGAGACATTGTATTTTGGTGGCAGCTTCAAATCCTCACAGGCTTCAAACTCCCGTCCCTCATCCGCCTCTAAGCACTGGCGCGGATGCGAAGCCGGACCATTGGTGGCTTGCGGATGCTGAAGCCGTTGCAAGGGCATTCTCTCAGGTTGCTTTATGCATTTTCTCATAGACGATTGTTTTCTCACATCGTGTTTTCCTTCAGTGCCATATATCTCTTTCAGTTGTTTGTCCGCGGCAGTTACCATCATTAAAGAACCTGTACTCAGTGGTATGCTATTGCTAATTCTTATATGTCTTTCCTTAAGGCTTTTGAGATCAGGCCAAGCAAAATCCTCGAGCTTCTGACCCTTCGAACGAGATTGCCAAGCACACGCAGCACCTTGTCTTAATCTCCGAGAGCTTTTTGGAGGCCAGGAATTGCTTGCGTCGTGTCACTCAGGCTCCTGCACTTGCTGCTGCTGTTAGTATGCCACCATCGCCTACAAGTGTAAAAGTTGAGCAGCAAGCTGCTGCTCCTTTGACGGTGCAGACTACACAACCAGTACCTGCAACTGCGGTGCCATCTGTATCCACCGGCACAGGTCTCCTTAATTTTAATTTCGTGAAGGCTTGGCTAACTTCTTTCTTTTGTCTCGCAGTGCCTACAACCTCTGGAAGGCAATCACAGATCATGTCAAATGGTAACATACCCACGTCAACTGTAAAAATTGTAAGAAATTTTTTCTATGTTTCGTTTCTTACATATGAGATGCAGGAGCACGTCTCGACCTCTGGTCCGCTCTCATATGGCTCGCCGCCTATGGCGAACACAAGTATGGCGGCGGTTTCTCTTCCGATACAAAGCTCGGGAGCCACGTCAGCTATGAGTCAAGAAGTTCTTCGTCCCCCACTCGGCTCAGACTCATCGACTGCTGTTCAGGACTTTAAGAGCATCAACACTAATACTTTGCAATCGCATCGTCCGGTTCCTGCTGCGAGCGTGCTGAATCAAATCAGGCAGGGAGCAGGCTCAGCAGCGGTATCAAGCATTCTCTCTGCTGGATCTTTAGCAGTGGGACAAGCTGGTATGGGGATCACACAACCAGTTAGTCAGCCAGCCAGCCTGGCACACGGACTTAGTGGCGATGCAGGTAGTGCAAGCCTGGGACCAGTACAAGGAAACGCAAATACTAGCAGCATTCTGCCGTCGAATGCTCCTGCGGGGATGATGCAACCAGCTAGTATGCCAAGTGGCTTACCTCCGGTGGCGAGCACGGTTGGAATGGCCCAGAGTTTGCAAGCTGCAAATCCTCTCGTGGTTGGCGGCCAGAGCGTCCAGGGTGCCGGACTTGGAATGCCGCATAGCTCGATAGCAGCACCGAGCAACTCTGTTGGGAGCGCTCCGAATGCTGGTGTGCTGCTTCCGATGTCTCAGCCTGGTCAGAATCCAGCAACTGGCAACGCTGGAGTATCTCATCTAGTCTCGAATGGTGTTGCGACTACACCACCGCAGCAGCCTGCGAATACAAAGTACACGAAGCTCTGGCAGGTGCTGGTTTTGACTTTGTGTTGCTTCTCCTTTCTCAAAGTTGGTGTGACAGGGGACATTGGCAGGCCAGAGGCATGGAAAGCCGGTTCCAATCTGTAGCTTGGAGGTGAAAAGTCTCGAACGAATGCACATGAATTTCATCTCTATTCTTTTGATGGCAGGGATACCGGCAAATCTCGTCTCCTGAAACGTACGTATTTACCTATGGAAACTACAGGCATTCGTAACATGTGACCATGCGTTGCAGGTTGGCTGCCGATTGGCCGCTGACAATGCAGATAGTGCGTTTAATTCCACAGGACTACATGAGCAAGTATGGAACGGGAACTTTATTTTCATCTATTGTTATTGATTTTTCTTTTCCTTCCTTTCAGCAGGGAGTACCAAGGAAAGGCCGAGCTTCTAGTTTTCAGGCCACTAAACCAGCATGGATTCCTCCAGCAGCTCGCAGATAAAAAACTGGTACATATAGGCAAAAAAAAAGTCTTCTCCGAGGGAACTGATTTTCCTTGTTTTGCTTCCAGTGTGCTGTCATTCAGCTCCCCTCGCAGACGTTGCTGCTTGCCAGCGCTGATAAACCACAGCGAATGATTGGAATGCTGTTTCCAGGGGTAAGCTCAAAGCCTGTGAGGTGGTCGTGGTCGGGTTTGGTCGCCCATCTCTCACAAGTTTCTTAGTCGAGAGCTAGAGACTGACGAACCGTGCGTGGCTTTTTCACAGGATACGGTGGTGTTCAAGCCACAGGGTCAAAATCCACAGCCTGGTGCACCAAATTTCTCGCACGGCGGATTTCCGCCAACCGCGCAACAGAGCAAACCTCCGCAGATGATGCCGGGTGGATCTCAAATGCCCATGGCCGGCTCTGGTGGCACACAAATTCCAGGACAAAGTTACCTCCTCTAGATTACAAGGTTTGGTTTGATGGAGAAAAGTTCTCGAGTCGTCTTATAAGGTGGCATGTTAAGAGTCCCATGCTTCAAGAACACTTTATACTAGTCGAGTCACAAAAGATGTCCACGCTTCTGTTATGGTGGCGATCACTAACTCCATCTCGATTGCCGCTATACCGCTGTTGACAAGTGCTGGCCGGATCCCCAAGCGTGCAATCTACCTTGCCATGATCATAGTCGTGCTGACCACGAGCCTCAGCTTGTGCCTGGAGGCGAAGCTCACGGCGGACGTGGGAGTGAGTCGTGATTTTGGCTGCGTAGATTGGAGCCTCGCGAGCAGGGAGGCGATCAAGCAGCGCTCGCTGGTTCCGCTTGCTTCCCAGTTCGTGGGAGGCAGTGCTCGCCAGGGGATAGCTCCATTTCTCTTGCGCTTGCTTGCAGGCTTGTTTGCTGTAGTGGGCCTACGGGCGGAGCACGGCCACCTCAAGAACATCAGCTTCCACGACAGCTTCGTTCCAGATCGATGCCTCGAGGAGCTCTACTCGCAGACCTTCAGACCTTCGAGCGGAAGGCCTCCTCCGTGGGAGCTGCTAGAGGATACACCCAAGCCGCGGGGCGCAGCCCAATCTCTCCGGCTTTCGGCCTCTCGGCGGACAACTTTCTCTTGTACGAGGTGGTGACGACCAACGGAGAGCTCGCGGCCGCGAACGAGTGCCGGGATCCCTTCTGGGCACTCGGAGGAGTGGTGGTGGCGGCGACGCTCAAGACCCATCCCGAGCTTCCTCTCGGTCACCGCCAAGAACGAGCCGAGCTTCCTGGTTGGGCCACTTCTTCCGATCTCTCGCGCTACAGTACCTTCCAGAGGTCGCTGGAGCCACTCCGCCGGGGCTTGACCTGGTCAACTCTCGTTGACCACTTTTTTTTCCTTCGAGGAGAGCTGCGTCGACATCTTCGTTGGGAGCCTTTCTCCGGTTTCCAGGCTGATCCCGCGAGAGACCCACTGGAGCTGCTCTTGTCGCCTCTCGACGAGCTGGGCCGAGGATGTTACAGGGTGTCCGGGATGAAGCTGCGAGAGATCTCACAAGTGCAAACAAGCTGCTAGCACCTTACATGACAAACTGTCGTTTGTTTGGGGAGCACTATCCACGGCTGTATGGTGTGTCATCGCTTCTGCGCATCGAAATCTCCGCTCCTGGAGCTTAGATATTTTAAGCAGGTTTGCGAGGCAGTGGAACAGGATCCTGTCGAGAACTGTAAAAACTTAAAAGACGAAAGTACTTGATCGAGGAAAAAGAAAAAAGAGGAGAAAGAGGCTCCAATGAAGCCCCGGGCATCGCCAAACGCCAGCTCCCACGATAGCGCAGTGTTCGCCGCCAAGACGACGCTGTCACGGTTCCGAGTCGAGCTCCAACGGCGCCGCGACACCAACTTCCCCGGCCAGATTTATGGAGAGAAAAGGAGCTCACTCCTGTTCACTCCCTCCGTCAGGTTCAGCGACCGGCTGTCCTGCCAACCATCGCAAGCATAATTTCCAACCATCTTTGCATCCTCCGAGGACAACCACACATTGTAGAAGATGACTTCCTCCTTTGGCGACGGTTTGAAGTCCTTGACAGCAGGCCGTCCGTCCAGGATAAAGTTGAGCATGTAGACCACACAGGAGTGCATCTTCGCATACATCTCGGATTTCTCCCAGTGCTCTTCCAAGCTTTTTAGAGTCCCTTGCCTCAGAAGCTCTAACGCAAACCATCTGTTCCTGACACCGTCTTTGACAAATATATCCAAGCGACTCCTCTTATCGTCTTTCGTTTTCGGCTCCAGTATCACAATCCAGTTCTGATGGGGATACGTCCCCAACAAAACTGCCTTCAGTTTGACAAAACATTTCGAACTGGATACTGTACTCCGAAGCAAGCGAATCCGCATTCTGTGACTCCGCTCTTTCAAAAATGCTCCGGTCCAGCCTTTCAATGGTCCTGCCGATCACCCAAGCGTGATCCAACCTTGGTGGACGTGGACTTGCTTCCACGCTATGGCTTAGACGAACATAAAGACCATAGAGTAGAGTAGACATGAGCAGCAGAGACGAGAACTTCAAGTCACAGAGCACGCCATCCGGATTTGTATCAACCACCACACCTTCAGACAGCAGAAGTTCCACAGTTTCATCGTAGGGGACTTTGACGTTGCCACCGGCTCTCAATAGCAACAAGAGCAGCTCCTTTCCACGGGGCTCAAGAGCCTTGCAGGCGCAGATAATAGCATAGTACGTAGCCTTGACGAAAATCCTGCCAATGAGTTTGTCCTTGCGCAGTTACAACCACATTTCAAGAGTCCTCGTGCTCTTGTCGATGAACTCTTGGTGCAGCAAGTCACAGCATGCGTCTACCAGTCCCTTGTGTCCCGACGTCAATTCCAGCATCGATGCAGCTATAGCTTCCCTATCAACTGAGATGAATGTATCCTTCTCGTACTGCCACAGCATGTCTGACAGTGTAAAGCCGGTGGAAGCCATTCGGAACTCGTCCGAAAACGGAGAGTTTCAGCGCCCGGCGAGGGAAGATAGAAACCGGGAGGAGCCCCTTGGATTCTCTTTCGACGGGCAAGTTTCAGCTCCAACAGCAACGAATCTGTGCCAATAGCTAAGACCGAGAGCAGCCGATTCTTGTACCGGTCCTGCTTCAAGTTCCGCACTGTGGCGAGAAACGATTGCTTGAAATCTTCAGACAGCTTCGAAAAAACGTTCAACTCGTCAAAGATGAGAATCATAAACTTACTGGAGCCAAAAGTCATAGTTGGACCCGGCTCAAGGTCCCCACTCGAACGCAGAAACTCCACAGCCATGTCCCAGCGATCGCTATCAGTAAGCTGTGGATCTACAATCTGCCGCAGAAAACTCACATAGATGCAGCAGAACTTCTCTTCTGGAAGGCGCCGTGCATAAAGAGCCGTTGTCATTTTTCCGCTCTGCCTCACGCTGGTGAGAACACAGTACTTTCCTTGCTCTAGATCGATGGCAAGTGTACTCACGTCAGGCTTGACATAGTAATTGAGAATCTCGTGGAAGCAAACGAATTTTGTCCCCTTAGGCAGCGATCTACTGAAATCTTCTTCTGAATCTGCCCTCTCTCTCTCAAGAGAATGCTGGGGTCTAAAACCTTCCGATCGCACACTACTTCTACTGCTACTTCCATAACGTGTATGCTCGTAAGTGTCGCCATACTGATCACCGCGAGAACGGCTGTGCCCGGAATGACGATGATCTTCTCTGTGCCGCGACACCTGGTCTCTACTCTCTGTGCTGCAAAACCCTGTCTCTGTCACCTCTCAGCTCATACTGCCCACGATTTGTATCCTTGCTGTGACAACTGTGAATAAGTCAGGAAATAATAAACGACCATGAATTACCTCAGATATTCTTCCTCACCATACACATACCTTGTCAGCACTGGAAGTGAAATTTTTATAATTAAACTAGAATTTGCCCAGAAATTCAAACACATTAATAGAACTAGTGGGAATGTCTAAGCATGTAATCTCAAACGAAAGATCACCATCACACACATTTTACATCCTTAACTCCAAAGATAACAGATATACCTTCTTCCTCTAGCCACGCCACCTTGGCAATCTACTAGTTTGGGCAGCGGGAGGAGCATAGCAGCAGTGGGAGGAAGACATTTCTTCTAGGGTTATAGTCATGGCTTTGCTTACAGCCGTGAGAGTGCTAGCAAGCTGATCACAAGGTGGCGGCAGTGAGGATCCAGGTCAGTGGATGACACATCTAAAGCTCATGGCAGGTGATATTTCAAGTCTTTTCTTGCCTGGCTCTTTGTCCCTTGATTGCTTCAAGAATAAGTGTGCATCAAGAGTGACTTGGAAATCGTGGTTTGTATTTCCAATTTCCATTCTTGACAATAGCATCTTAGTTTTGTAAAATTCCAAGCATGCCAAGGAAGAGGAGCAGCTACACAAGCATTGAATCTAAGATCTTCAACAAGAATGCCATGTTGAAAGTAAAGCACAACAAAAATATAAAACTTTGGAATAATGTGGAGGCCAGTCTTATTAGCCATCAAAGGTGGCTCACCACTTTTAACTTTTTTAGGAAATAGAGAAGATGCATTTTGTGTTTTATGTGAACTTATTGTAAATTATAAATTTTTCTTTTCCAATTTACCAGTTTACTGTGAGACACAAAATCCCTAGGCCCCAAAGTGGAGCCGGAAAGGGTGCCACGTGGTAGTGGCCGAAGCGAAAGCCCAAACGAGTGTAACACGTTTGGACTAAAAGCTCTAACTTGGAAGGTCGAGAGCGGGAGTGGAACTCCCAACAAAGTGCTCAAGGAGCGAGCACGAAGCAAGCAATAAGCAAGGCTCCAAAAAGGGACCCAAAAGGGACCAACACATGACATGTGGAAGTGTCCGAGATGGAGTCCGAGATGGACCCGAAGTGGAGTCTGATATGGAGTCCGAAGTGGAGTCCGAAGTGGAGTCCGATATGGAGTCTGAGATGGACCCGAAGTGGAGTCCGAGGTGGACCGAGACGGACTCCGAGATGGACCCGAGATGGAGTCCGAGATGGAGTCCGAGATGGACCTGAGATGGAGTCCGAGGTGGAGTCCGAGGTGGACTGAGATGGAGTCCGAGATGGACCCGAGATGGCAGTCCTTGATGGAGTCCGAGAAGGAGCCCGAAGTCGAGTCCGAGATCGAGACCGAGACCGAGACCAAGACCGGGACCG